TTAAATCACTGTATCTATAATTACGCAATGCATGAACCTTTTAGAGTACTTTGCAATGATTATAATAGACTATTCATCTAATATCTACTACTGGCTCACTTCATATCTTTAAATCAATAATACTATCCTCCCTAGTAACTAATTAGTTTTACTTGATGTATTTTGTCTATTCGTATATTGACCTGTATTTTTAAATGGCCTATTGTTACATTGTCTTTTTCCTTGTCCGCGATTATGTTTACTCGCCCAAAACGGTGATGGGCTCCGCGCGTAACATGCTTTGCTTGGTGTCGTAGGGCCACTTGTTTGTACTGACCATAGTGCATCAACGTCCATATTAATAAAAAAAAAAGTTCTAATTCGAAAGCTTTTGCTTGTGACCGTTCTTCGGTTGAGCGAGAGCGAGAAGGCAGTCACTTGATCGCGCTGAGAGACGTCGGTCCGTTGCGGAACCGCGGCATATTTTTGTCATGGAGCCGTGAATTTGCCTGAAAATTAAGCTAAGACTTAAAAGGGGAAAGAAAGCGGAATCGGAAAAACTAACCCTCCATCAGTTTTTGCGACACCAGATGGCCTGCAAGCAGGCAGATCGAGATGTCAAGTTCTCTCCTTGTGACTTTTTAATGGAAGCTTTACTTTAATCATTTATTTCGTATCCTTTGCACCATTAATTATACAAGGTTGTAATTTAAATTGAATTAAGGAATAGCTATCGCCGAGTTTTGTGATGATGTTAATTGTTTTTTAAAGTTTCATGATTGCATTTAAAACTATGTCTATCTCCCTGAATCGTAACCATATTTAAATTTCGTAACCCTGCATGGACTAAGATATGTGCTCACCTTTATTTACTTTCTTAGCTGGTAATAAAACCTTTATAATGAACTAAGTTAGCATTCTGTTGCCGCAGCTAGGTTGATTCAGCGATAAGTTAGCTTGCATTTGAAGGGGTCGTTCGGACGTTTGAAAGAGGACGGCCAATGGTTGGGTGGGTATTAAGGGACCTCGGGAACATCTAGCGAGACTCGGTCAGGGTATTGTGGAATTTTTCGACTTTTTTTTTATTTTTATGTGTTGTTGCTCATTTCCGAGTTTAGGTTAGGGTTAAGCATTTACATTCACTTCCACAGCCGACAACCAGCCAGCCGAGCATGCCCGCGTGCGCTTGATTTCCATGGTACGACCTCCGCCTGAATTTTATTTTAATGTGGCGACTCGTAACATTTATAAATAATTTATTCCAATATTAATGATAATAAGTCCAGGCTCCCAACTTCAAGGGCCACATAAACATAATGTGACTCATGTACACCTGTACGATTTCGACTTAGCAGAAATTCGTTCCTTGCTGATAGCTACTTTGACCTAAATAAATAGGTGATTATATCTTGGTCTGCGCATATCTGCACATGATAATCGGGTCACAAGCCATATGCATCCATCCGACGGACGTGTCTTCACACCATTTGGTAGATGTAATTGTTTATTTAGGCTATTTTCCTGTAATCTGTGATAAAACATGTTGTCCATTTGTATCTTGACTAGACCTAAGTAAATATCCTTGTAACCCCAAATCATGTATATAAACCCGGATCCGTGCTCAATAAAATCAGTACGAAAAGAAATCTTGACGTATTCACTTCTCCGCAGACCAATTTATTCTGTATTTATTGCGGCGACTATTGCCACTGGTTCTGTACTTGAAGCACGCAAAAAAAACTTTTCAGCAAAACCAGATCTTGATAGAAATCCTACATTTGGTGACCCCTGACTTTAAACCGCAACAATTGTTCAAATCGGGAGCCAAATTTGAACATGCATCATCTGTCATAGTTTGATCAACCAAAAGTCAATTTGGTAAAAATTTAAGCCGCATATTTCGGTCAAATACAATATCATTTGATCCGACTTTACAAATTCGATTACAGTCTTCAACGGTCAACAGAGCGACCAAAAGACGGTAAATTCAACCACTTTAGGTATGCGATCAACATATATATCCATATATGCAAGTTATATGACACATTATTTAGGGGCTCTTACCCAATTTATAAACAACTTGGAGACGAGAGCTAATTTCCAAATAACTCTGACAGACCCGAGATAAGTCCGTGGTTAGCTATTTCTGTCAACCAGGCCTCCAAATCTTTTCCACCCATCCAATCCGATATTGTAAACATCCGCTAACGTAAACAAAAGATCTCCAAAGGGGCCCCTGAGACCGCTAACGTAAGCAAAAAGATCCCCAAAGCGATCCCTAAAGTCCACTAATGTAATCACCAATTTCCGGCCGAATTTGGACTTCAAATTTAATTGGCAAATTGCATCCTTCTGTTGTCCGACACTCTTGAGTCACTCACTTTATCAATTTTTGGGGATAAATCTCTTAAGCCGAGGTTTGATTATTGATCATTGGACTAGAGGCAAGGCAGTCCGTTTTTGAGATCCGAAACGAGCAGTTGATAAAATCGAGTGAAAGTAAAAGAGCAGTGAATAAAATAAATTCGACCAATAGAAAAATTGTAATAGTGAATAAGTGATTATAAAAAATAAAAACAAATTTTTTTAATTAGTTCACTAGTGAGAAACTTAATTTGCATGAGTTTCAGGCTAAACTAGCAACTACCAAAAACTTTTCTGTATATGTTAAGCCAAACTTTTCTTGCCCTAATTCTTCTCTAATAAAACAAAGTTGAGTTGCGCGGGACTTCAACGTTCAGGCCATGATTAAGAAAAACTGCTGTATAGGCGTAGAATCGGAAAAAAATAAAATAAAATGTTAGGGGTCATAATTTCATCAAAATAAAACAAGATAGAACGCTACCCGTAATCCAGCCAACGGAGGGAGATAGAGATATGCATCTTGCGAACCTACTGTTCCCAAGATTGCACACTTTATTGCTTATACAGCTGCGATCATGAAAATAGTAGTGAACTTGAGCTCACCACATTAGGCAGGAAAATCGATTGATAATCACAATTTATTTCAACGATGTTTTCAAAATAACAATTTACATACTTAATTTAATCAGTTCATCTGATTTTGTTATTATAAATTATTATAGTTTGCACTACAGGGCTTATAAACAAAAAAATCACAAAATTTGGCCGCTCATGAAAATAGTAGTGACTACTAAAAATTAAAAAAACTTAACTAAAAGCTCCAAAATATCTCAAAAAATCATAATCTTTTATTATCTAGAATCCAATATTTAGTTGAATATCCTTTATTCTGCAACACGGAGGTGCAACGGCGTGGCATGGAATCGATAAGGTCTTGGCACCGATTTACAGGAATGTCATGCCAAGCTTTCTGAACCACCATCCACAGCTGAGTTTTGTTTATTGGTTTTACAATAGATACAGCTCTCCTATTATCCCCCCAAAAGTTTTCAATAGGGTTTAAGTCCGGAGACTGAGCTGGCCTTGTCATTAGGTCGATCTCTTGTGATGCAAACCAAGCCTTCGCGTGCTTACTTGTGTGTTTCGGATCATTGTCTTGTTGGAACGTCCACTTTAAGGGCATTTCCCAACTGGCATAAGGCGGCATAGTGTTTTCCAAAATTTCAACGTAACCATTTTTGTCCATGATGCCATCTATCTTATGTATCGGACCAACCCCAGCATAAGAAAAACATGCCCAAATCATGATGCTCAGGCCACCGTGTTTAATGGTCTTTTTTGTGAACTTTGGGCGAAATTCCTGGTTAGGTGGACGTCGAACATACTCTCTAGAACCAGTACCATCAAACATAACAATTTTACTCTCATCGGGCCAAAGTATATTGCGCCATTTTTAAATGGACCAGTCTTTATGCACTTTCGCAAACTCCATTCTTGCAACTATGTGCTTCTGTGTCAAAAGGGGTACCTTTCTTGGACTTTTGGCAAATAAATTACTTTGTCTCAGACGTCTTCGAAGTGTTTGAAGACTAATTGCCAGGTTTAGTTATTTTTTAATCTGCCCTGCAGAAGCAAATGGGTGGATCGTGGCGTACCGCACAATATGTCTGTCGTCTACCGCAGCAGTTTTAAGTGAATGGCGTTAAATATCATGGTAGATGAGCATCCAACTATGTTTTCTATATCGTTGTACGTTTTCCCCTCATTTTTTAATTTTATAATTAAATTTCTCATTTCGGGCGAACAGTGCTTTCCCCGGCCCACTAAAAAAAATGTTATTTTAAATTTTCATCATTAAAATAATTAACAAATATTTTAACTTACTAATTGCGTTCTTAACTTTTTAAGTTTTTTTTTGAACTTCTCACATCAAGCACTACTATTTTAATGAGCGGCCAATTTAGCTTGCATATTCTAATTATAATCAAAAATTACTCTTTCCGTGGCAAATCTAACGGATCTTTCTCTCTTTCCTCATCCTTACGTTCCATTCTAAGAAAAAAGTGGAAACACGTTCCAAGGAAAACGGTAAAAGTACCGAAGGCTTCCTTTCCAATGTTATTTCAAGTTGCACTACTATTTTCATGATCGTAACTGTAACTATTAAATTTGTGGTCGGATTTGAAAAATTTTTGCAATTTCTATCTTTAATAGTTTAAGAGATCTCAGCCATAATATGGACGGACATACAGACGGGCTAGCTCGGCTCGGCTAGTGATCCTGATCATGAATATATACACCTTAGAGGGTCGAAAAAGCTTCCTTCGGCCTGTTACATACTTTCCGACGAATCTACTATATCCTTTTAGTCTACGAGTATTTTTCAGTATCATTCGTTCAGAGCCAAGATAATTCTATGATGATAAGTAGCAAAAAATAGGAAAGCGATCTGACTTATAGTTTTTTCGGAATCGTGTCCATCGCAAAACCATTTTCAAGAGAACATTAAGGGTTATATACCTTTTTGAGCGAAAAAATTGAGGGAACTTTGGATTTTTTTTCAGGTGTGTAGCAATTATTTTATGACACTGAAGTTATTATTTATTGATATTACATGTTTTTATCGAAACAACAAGCGTTTGTTCTTAAAAAAATATAAATAATTTACGAAGCTATGGCAATTCTCTCGGAACCCTTTTTTTATAGCGGCTTGCGGTGACCACGATGGAAGTCCAGCAGGTCAACTGATATCAAAAAACCAAAAAAATTTTATTAGTATAGTATTATTTCCAGTTCGTGAACGATTATTTTCAAGAATATTTGGTTTTTTCTGCATACAGTAACGATTTTTCCAAAAAGTTGATTTTTCGAGTTCTAAAAATTTTATTAAAAAATTCTGATCTGCAAAATCAAAATTGGCGCATAAAAACTGAATCGTTCACGAACTCGGCACAATCATTACGAATAATTTAAAAAAAAAATGAAGAAGATCAATCAAATAGTTCTTGTGCAATCGCGGTCACAGCAAAGGCACTTTTGGAAAAACACGACTTTGAGATAATCGCATTCAAAGTTTTACGTTGAGTATATGCAACTATTGAAGTCGAGCAGACAAACTTACAAGTCATCGTCAAACTATTATTCGGAACTCTATGAAAATTTGGGAAAATGTTCTCTAGGGGATATACTTTAGGATTCAACAAAAAAAAAATTTTTAGTTTTTTTGAAAAAAAAAAAAAGGTATATAACCCCTTAAGTTGGCTGCTAAAAAGTATTGAGTATTCTTAAAACTGTATCCTTAAAGAAAATGGTAAAATTAAATCGCATTTTCTAGCTGGTACAAGTGTACATAATTTCTTAATTTAAATAAGATAGAACGCTATAGTTGAGTGCCTCGACTATCAGATACCCGTTACTCAGCTAACCAACTCAAAACCAAGAAACGGTGTTTTGTCTATTGACCAATTTTAAAATAAAAATCTATTGCATATATTGTTTTTATATATATGTTGTATTAGCAAATGGGAAAGTATTTATGACATTAAAATTTAATGAGATTAATAAATACAAATATGGTTAATATTATTAATAGAAGTGTATCGCTCGCTGATTCAATACGAGGTCGTGAGTGCCTCACGAATCTTCGTTCAAAAATTGTACTTGATTTCGACTTTCTTATGTCCTGTCTTATGGTAAAAATCGTTTTCCCGCCTGACAATCTCATAAGAGCCAGTGTACGCGTATCTTAATCGATTCCTTTTAATAAGAACGTCTTCTGCTTTGTATGATGTACAGTTTTTGTCGGTCGCGCTTTCTGTATGTGCTCTCGAAAAACACTAATGATGTGGGGTCAACAGCATCGTCCAACCCTCTAAAAAAAAAGTCGTTTGACAGACGAATACTAATTCTATATACCAGTTCTACCGCGGAAAATTGGATGTCCACTTTGAAACGGGTACGAACTCAAAGCAAAACTATTGACAGTAACTGCGGCCACAGGTTATTGCTCTTACACATCAAATATGACTGAAAGGATCTGTGCCACCTCTCTGTGAGTCCTTTTGACTAAGGATGGTAGTCCGCCGTGTGTATGTGTTTACTTTCAACCAGATTAGCCAGATGTTTAAAAACAGCTGACTCTAAATGTGTTTCTTTTTCCAACGTTATTGTTTTTAAAGAAACAAATCGAAATATCCAGCGAGTCCACAACGCCAACCTTTCGGCAAAAACATTCGATAGAGGTTGAGTTTCCGGCCACCGTGTAAATCTATCAATCATCGTCAGACAGTGCCGATAGCTTGGTTGTAATGGCATAGCATTAATGTCTCTGGTGAGAAGTGGTTGTGTTTATGAATCTTAGAGCGCTGTCAGGGTAGACAAACTCTGCAATATCGAGGGCCACACGAACTTCTGGTGCACTTGACGTACTGTTGAGCGACCACTGGGGATGAGACAAACTGTGAATGAATGTAAAAACAGCATTGCGTAAAGTTTGGGTGTAAAAGGACGAACGCTCCCTGTAGATGCATTAAACTCTTCGAAGTTTTAAAGATGCGGCTCCCAGCAAAAGGTGTAGCAGCACAGGATCTAACGCTTGATCCTCTTCAATTTGCGATAATTTAATGGTTGTCGACATTATTATAGAGCATAATCTTGAAAAAGGGTCTGCGACTGCATTCTCGGATCCATTCACAAAATAGTAGTACAGAACTGGTAAATGTTAGCCAAATGTCATAGCTATCTTAGCGATGTTTGTGATCCGTTCTGATGACAAAAATGCGTCCGTCAAGAAGGTGTTTGAAATATTTAATGGGTTCGCATATAGCGAGTAATTCTCGGTCGTTAGTCAAGTTATTCTCCGTTGTGCTCAGATTTTTCCTTCAATTTTCTTCTGTGCACTAAAAATGCTTAAATTGCGAAATCGAAAACATACACATGTAGGCTTATTTATAGAGGTGCGGAAACATCGATGTTACATCGACAACATGCTGCATATACCCATAGAATGGATGCCAGAAAATTTAAATAACTGCACATTTTTTTATGAATGGATCCAATTTAGAAGACTAGTCACAACTTGAGTATTCGCAAAATATGGTGAACGAACGTAGAAATGCTTAACGGTGTAAGAGGTATGGCAATTATAAGTCAAAATCAAAATAAATCAAAATTTGTCTTTTAACTTTAAGCCTCTCTAATAAAACCCAAACGCAGTCAAATTCAAAGAAATTTAAAACATTTCGATGTGTACTTGCACTTGAAGTCCAAATTGTGGTTACATTTCAAAACACAAAAAAAATGTTCACAATATTGTTTATTGTATTTTCAATTCAAAACTGACTTTTCTTGTACTGAAAAGTTATTATCTTCCACAAATCTGGTTTGCGTAGTTTTTGGCGCATTCAAATAAACCAGAAGAGTTATTTGCTATAAACTGAGTTCTAGTGTTTGACGCTCAATAATTTCTAAACGCGAATTTTCTTAATATGTGTAATACGTCTAAAGTCGAGGTGTTTTGAAAATCGACCGTCCAGTTCCAGCACTCAAATATGTAGCTCGACTGAACGCGGTTATAAGATTTATGTCAGAGTAAAGTGTGACATGACACTTATATTTTTCCCGCTGTGAGGAGTTTAATAACTCCCCAAAAATTGCAGTGGCAATTATTCATGGTGGCCTGCCTGCTACCAGGTACGCGGCGAATCAGCGCATAGTAACGGCATGGCGAAGAGAGTTTGGAGAGTGAGAAGTTGGAAGATGAGAGTTGGGAGAAAGAGAGTTTGGAGAACAAGAAGTTGGAGAACGAGAGGTTGGAGAACGAGAGGTTGGAGAAAGAGTGTTTGGAAAACAAGAGGTTAGAGAGAGAGAAAAAAGAGAGAGTGGAGATTTCGATGGCAGAGTGAGGGTGCCGTGTACTAAGGGAAATAACGGAACGCACCGGACTTTGGACTCTGCCGTGGACTTTGGACCAGAAGATGTGCCACATCTCAGCAGCTGGACGGCGCGCCTGCGTTGCACATGGCATAGGAGGATCAGCAGGACAGCGCCAAGACATTGGACTCCGTGGGTCTAGGACAAATAGGCCAAAAAGGATCCTTGGACGTTGGACCTGGAGTGCAGATTACCTGCGGGCCGTGTGCAAAAGGGAAATATCGGTTTCGGGACGCCCTATATAAGGCCGCAGAGCTGTAGGAGCTGGATCAGTCGATCACGAGGAGTCAATCCAACAAGATTACTCAGTTATCAAAGCCAAAGAACCAAGTCGACCAGCAACACGTGAACACCAAGTCAAGAACAACCAATCAAGTGGTCGGAAGCAGTTCCGTGGGAAGCCTACAAGGAGCAAGATCGCTACGTCGAGACGTTCGGGATTGGGACATCAGGAATCTCCGAATTGAGACACAGTTAGCTGAGGTCCAGAGGGCATCACAAGGCTTAGGCGATCTCTCTGCGAATCCAAGGCTGGACAAGCGGCCTCGCGTCAACGCGTCGGCGAGCGAGCAGAGGCGAGGGACACTACGAGCATCCCGAAATACAGGAAGGAGGGAGTGATCACCGAGTCAACGCGTCGACGAGCCAAGACGAGCAGTATCAGCAGCCACCGGAGTCAGCGCGTGGCGACACCGACACCAACCGAGCCACCGCTGTAATAAGTAAAACGAAAATAAACCCACTGTTATCCCTTGAATTCTGTGCTTTCTCGCTGATCTACGGGGCAGTCACGTCAAATCAATTTGGTGGAACGAACACACAATCTACTGAACTACTCGCACGAATCCCGTACTGAACTATCGGATTTTGTATAATGTCGAATAACAAACGCTTTTCAGCTAAATCCATTCAATCAAAAAATAAGGCAAACCAAAAAACATATTATTAGGTCTACATTTAAGTTGAATAACTCTGCAATTCAGTATCGCATTGAAATGCTTTTGGTACTAATCGAAGAATATTAAACAAGGAAGATCGATATAGTCGAGTACCTCGACTATTAGATACCCGTTACTCAGCTAAAGGGATGAAAGGGAAATGGAGATATGCAAGCAGCAAAGCAAGATTGAAATGCGCCACCTACCGGCGGTAGACAGATTTAAGCGTTATGGGCGTTAGAGTGGGCGTGGCAAATTTTTTTTTGGATCAATCGATAGGTATTAACGTGACCAATACATTTCAGTTAAAAAAAAAAAGTTTTACAATTTCTGAAAGACATTCCAAAAACGATATTTTTGGATTTTCCAGCTAGTTATAATAATGTAACGGAAATGTGTGAGGAATCTATTTTTATTCCCTTTGCTGCTTGCATATCTCCATATAGCTGAGTAACGGGTATCTGATAGTCGAGGTACTCGACTATAGCGTTCTTCCTTGTTTCATTCTATAAAATTGTGGTTATAGATTTTCGCCGCGGAGGACCGCATTTATGTAATTATACCTGTTACTCGTAGAGCAAAAGGGTACACTAGATTCGTCGGAAAGTATGTAACAGGTAGAACGAAGCGTTTCCCCAGAATGTATATATATTCTTGATCAGGATCACTAGGCGAGTCGATCTAGCCGTGTCCGTCTGTCCGTCTGTCTGTATAAACGCTGTGATTTCGGAAACTATAAAAGCTGCAATATTGAGATTAGGCAAGCAGATTCTAGAAATTACTGCGCAGCGCAAGTTTGTTTCGCCAGTGCGCCACGCCCAATCTAACGCCCACAAGCCGTTCAAAACTGTGGCTCCAACAGTTTTAATGCTAGA